AGGAAAATGCATATTTAAAAAAAAAAAAAAACCATACCACCACACACTCTGCTGAAGAGCTAAAGTTAGAAAGTGTGGGCACAGGATGCGGAACAGCCAACACTCACATGTACTGTTGGGAACTTACTGGTGGAACCAATATTTTTGAAAATCTAAAGTATCTACCAAAACTACACTTGAAGTCTACCCTATCATTCAGTAATTGCATTCCCCACATATAGCATATACCAAGAGAAATAAGAGCAAACAACTGATGAACCAAACATTATGTTGAGTAAAAGAAGCCAAACATGTCACAGTACATGTTGTAGTTTTAACATATATTTGAAAAGTGGGAAAAAGCACACCAAATCAAGCGTAATAAGAGTCAAAATCCAATTTCCTCTGTGGAGAGATTATTGAGAAAGAGATGAATGAACTTCCTGGAATCCTGGAAATCTGTCCACCAGGATGTATACATCTATGTGTAATTACATCACGGTGTACACAGCTTGCACATTAGTGTATGTATACCTTGATAAGCAGTAAAAAGTTATTAAGGGAAATGCTATAGTTATGCTTTTAAGAGATAAAAATATAATTTTTTTAAAAAAAATTAGGTGTTAATAGACCTTCATTTTATTCATTTGTTCATATGGCATGCTGAGAATCGAACACAGTGCCTCATACATACTAGGCAAATGCTCTACCACTGAGACACAACACTACCCCTTAAAATACAATGTTTTAAAAAAGGGGAAGAGGTAGCAAAATGTACTTGAAACAGCTCACAGCATTCCTCTTCTCACATAAAGGCAGTAAAATATTCCCTGTCTGAAGGTATCAAATATACATCCTCCCCTACTAAAATAGGATGAAAACTATCCGAGGCTTGCCACAATTACAGTCAGGATAACTTCATTAACCACAGCTCTACTCACTTTTGGGACCAGGATAGGCTTGTATAGACATCAATCCCATAAGCAGAGTGAAGGATGGGACTGGACTGTGAGCATGATGACAATCCTTCTGCAAACTGGTCAACTCTAACAGGGCAGTGAAAGTGCCAGAGGAAGTGCAATGAGAAGCAAAAATGCCAAAATGGGGGGCTGGAGATGTGGCTCAATTGGTAGCGCGCTCGCCTGGCATGCGTGCGGCCCAGGTTCGATCCTCAGCACCACATACAAACAAAGCTATTGTGTCGTCCAAAAATTGAAAAATAAAYATCAAATAAAGTTCTCGTTTAAAAAAAAAATGCCAAAATGGCAACACCAGAGCTTGCCAGAGAAATCTAAGTTGTGTTTGGCCAGGATATAGGAGTTAATGGAGATGGTTGTGGAGGTGCAGCCCTGAGGAAACTGAGGTCAAGCACCTAACATTCAGTTTTGAGCAAGTATGGATCAGCTCCTTCAATACTCAGAAAAATGAGCTGAAAACTGGGGCCCACAAGGTCCCTCCTAATCTGTCTACCTATATCGTGGTCCTAATAAGCAGGCAATTGTAGCTCCTCCCCTAAAGCCTTTCAAACTTCTTGCAAAGTTATTTTAGAAAACTATCACMTAGAATTAGAAGTGATTAAGGGAAATGTAGTCCCCACCAAATCCAAATTAATATAACACACTTAATTAACTTAAAACATTAGATCAAAATTCCAGCCATGAGGGCTGGGGTTGTGGCTCAGTAGTCGAGTGCTTACCTAGTGTGTATGAGACACTGGGTTCGATTCTCAGCACCACATATAAATAAATAAAATAAAGATCCATCAACAACTTAAAAAATTTAAATTAAAAAAGATTCCAGTCATGAACAAACATAAAGAATAAAACACAAAACAGCAATCAGATGAGACTATACTCTTTCAAGGCCTTTGTACTAATTAATTTCTACTAAAAATCTTATTACACATGAAAAGCTTTTGATAGTAAACACTGATATTCTCAAAAACAGTTTGTACTCTTAGTTTAAAGGGAAGAGGGGAATTATTGGGTAGGCAACTTTCAATATCCAGACGAAGAAAAAGATGAAGGCGAAGAAGAAGAAGGCGAAGGCAAAGACGAAGGCAAAGATGACGAACAAGAAGGTGCCCAAGCTGTGAGTTCATACTTAAACAACAATTAAAAAAAAAAAAAGAATTTTCCTGCCTGCCAAAAAAAAAAAAAAAAAAGAATGCACTTGAGCCAGACTCAATGATATTTGCCTGCACTCCCAAACTTAGGAGGCTAAGGCAGAAGTCCAGGAGTTACAAGCCTGGACAACATAGCCAGACGCTGTCTCATGGAGAAGCATACACACACGTACAGACACAATCTCCCAAGAGTCCAAAACACTTTGTAATGGAAATAACATTTACATCTCAGCGAAAGAACTTAACCTCATACTCAAAAGTAGGTCATAAAAGCTGAAAAGGGAAACATATAACCTTAAATCTTCCTATTAGAAAACATTGGAAATCAATGACAATCTAGAAGCCCACTTTAATGAGGCACTGATCTCCTTTTCTAGTTCAAATTGTGAATTTTCTTATAGAAGTGTTGAGAGCAACAGCCAAGTCAAGATGGCGCCTGACACTTTGCCAGGAGGAGTGGTTTGAGAAGTAATGCCAGCGAGCTATTAAGAGGATGAGGATTCCTTAATGACTGACTGCAGTATCTAGATGATGTTAATTGAGTTAGGCTGTGCCTAATTATTAAGATGATGAGGATTGCTTAATGACTGCTTGATGTAACTGGATGATGTTAATTGAGATAAGCTGTCTGTATTTACTTGGGTATATATACCTCTGCTGGTCTGAATACAGTGGCTCCCGCTGTTTCAACTTTCACAAGTTGCTTGTCGCCCCGGCTACTTTGCACAGCCCTGCTGGACTGCGGCACAAGTTATGTTCAAAATCAAAAGGTTTTACCATATAGCTTACAAACACAGGGTTTCTCTCAGTTGTACTCAACTATTCAAAAGAATAAGTGATAATCTCCTACTTTCTCACATTTATACTGTCTCCACAGTATGAGACTTCACAAATTCCATTAGTTCAGAAAAAGTCTTGCAGAGATTCCCTTACTCCTTACATTTATATGTTGTCCCTTGTGTGAACTTTCAAATGGCTTCGAAAGTAGGCTGGACAAATAAAGGCTTTCCCACATTCCATACATTAATATGGTTTCTCTCCAGTATGGCTTCTCAYATGTATTCCAAAGGATGAGGAAGAACTGAAAGCTCTTCCACACTCAAGACATTCAAAGGGTTTTTCTCCAGTGTGCATTCTTACATGTATAGTAAGGGACGAATAATGTCGAAATGCCTTCCCACATTTCTTACATTCATAGGGTTTTTCCTCAGTGTGGATTCTCATGTGGCTACTAAGACCTGAAGAACGAATAAAGGCTTTCCCACATTTTTTACATTCATAAGGTTTCTCTCCAGTGTGAGTTCTTCTATGTACTGTAAGAAGGGAAGAAGAAATGAAGGCTTTCCCACATTCCTTACATTCATATGGTTTCTCTCCAGTATGGCTTCTCACATGTATACCAAAGGATGAGGAAGAAAAGAAAACTCTTCCACACTCAAGACATTCAAAGGGTTTTTCTCCAGTATGCATTCTTGCATGTATAGTAAGGGATGAAGAATGTCGAAATGCTTTCCCACATTCCTTACATTCATAGGGTTTTTCCTCAGTGTGGATTCTCATATGGATACTAAGAGCTGAGAAAGAAATAAAGGCTTTCCCACATTTTTTACATTCATAAGGTTTCTCTCCAGTGTGAGTTCTTCTATGTACTGTAAGATAGGAAGAATAAATGAAGGCTTTCCCACACTCCTTACATTCATATGGTTTATCTCCTGTATGGTTTTTCACATGTCTCCCAAAGGATGAGGGAGAACTGAAAGCTCTTCCACACTCCAGACATTCAAAGGGTTTTTCTCCAGTGTGCATTCTTGTATGCATAGTAAGGGATGAAGAATGTCGAAATGCCTTCCCACATTCCTTACATTCATAGGGTTTTTCCTCAGTGTGGATTCTCATGTGACTACTAAGACCTGAAAAACGAATAAAGGCTTTCCCACATTTTTTACATTCATAAGGTTTCTCACCAGTGTGAGTTCTTCTATGTACTGTAAGAGAGGAAGAACTAATGAAGGCTTTCCCACATTCCTCACACTCATAAGGCTTTTCTCCACTGTGAGTTCTTAGGTGTTCAGTGAGGGATGAGGAATGACTATAGGCCTTCCCACACTCCTTACATTCATATTGCACCTTACCATTGTGATCCCTTACATGTGCTTTAAAGGAAGAGGGACAACTGAAGGCCTTCCCACATTCCTTACATTCATAGGGTTTCTCTTTACTTTGATTTTTCACATGTGTGTTCAGG